CCGCCGAGCGCCGCCGGAACCCCCTTCCAGCACTGCGCCCGCGCCGCCCCCTCGCCGAGCCCCACGCAACCGGAGCCCGCCCCTCCAGCGTCGCGCCGCCGGAGCGCCCCCCTGCGGAATGCTGCGCCGCGCTCCCCCCGCCGCCCCTTACCAGGTGCCGCCCCAAGCATGTGCTTGGGTGCCTGGTGCTGACCCTGCTCCCAGTTTCTGGAAAGGAACGGGTAGGGGAGAAGCTGTGGGTGACTTCCCCAGGCTCCTGGCGGGGAATAGAAAGCCCAGGAGGTGGGGGGCGCCAGCCTGCCAGGAGTCCAGGAGGCAGTGGGGCAGCCAGGCTCCCGTCAGAGAGCTGCCAGCAGAGCTGAGAGACGGGCTGTCAGCTCCCCATGCTGATCCTCTTAGGTCAGTGAAAGCAGTTCTGGTGAGGACACACACTGTCAATCCAAGGAGGGTAGAGTGGATATGCACCACTGCAGTAATTACTGCTGTGGCTATAAATCTACCTAATATAGGTTGACTTAAGTTTGTAGTGTAGACATACCCACAGTGGTAGTAATTACTGTGAGTGTACATTGGTTAACTTCAGAGGGAAATGGCCAGTGCACATTTTACTTGTATGTCAGTCATGATAATTATGGGTATGAATTTGTCTGTACCCATTGCTGGAAAGCGTTTTGAAATACTTTTGGATGAAAAGTGATGTATAAATGTAAGCCACTGTAATATCTTAATATGGCCTATGTGCTTTCACAAGTATCTAGCAATTATTTTTTGGTTCAGGTATCCATTTTATGAAATTCTGCAATGAAAGGAACTCATTGTGAAGCACAATGAGATTCATACCATGTAATAACTGCTTTTCAAGAACTACAAGCATCAAGTGCTTATATTATTGCATTATGACCAGAGGTGTTAGGCATGAGTCTGCTCATTCCTATTTTTATTTCTGGCATATAGTTTTGCTTCCCTTTTCACTTTGTGCCATTCTTTCCTTCCCTTTCTAACAGCTTACCTTTCTTTATTATTATTTCTTAAATTACCCAGAAAGTCAACACTAAAGAGAGAGGTAAAACAACTTCTGAAGATTAATCAAGCCACATTGTTGATATGTTTGACTTTGAATCTTCTTCTTCGTAGCAGGGAGATGTCCTTCTCAGAAACCCTTTGACTATCAAAACAAATGATAGGTTTCAGAGTAGCAGCCGTGTTAGTTTGTATCCGCAAAAAGAACAGGAGTACTTGTGGCACCTTAGAGACTAACAAATTTATTTGTTTGTTTGTTTTTAGAGGAAAATTTGAAATGGGTTAAAAGTTAACACACAGACCTTTCAAAAGGGAGGGTATATTCAAACATTAGAATAAAAGTTTTGGAACATTATGCTCCTGTCAAAAAACCTAAAGAATCTTGGACCAAGGCTTGGGGCTCAGTTCCATCAAGCTCAGACTTGGTGGAGCTCCAGGAGGTAGGGGAGAGAAAGGTGACTAATTTATGACATACCAGCAAGGATTTGCAAAGCACAACAAACTCTAGCCCCATCTATCACTTCTCCAACATGGCATATATATGGCTATTCTGGCTCTATGGTGGTGTGACGGGGTGTATATAACCTGTTAAAGGTTAAACAAGTTAAAGGACTGCTGGGAGCTGAGTTAGCCCAGCACTGTGACACCTGAAACAGGTGCTGGACTTTGAAACATGAGCTAAAAAAGTGGCTGGCTGGGAGGAAGAGCAGACTTTCGGCTCTCACTGTGGGTGGAAGGTTGGCTGGGGCCAGGAACTCAGGAATGGTTACCTATGAGAGCCCTCCCCCACTCCCCTTAGGGTTTGGAAGAGTTGTGTTTATTTTGGACTTTGGGTACTCTGGAAGGGATGGAACTTTTATCTGACCTAGCTGGAGGGCCAGGTCACCTTAACCTGAAAGCTGTTGGCTCAAGGCCAGGATGGAAACAGAGGCAGAGCCACTGCTCCACTACACCACACCATATGAGGGCATGCAGGGAGGGTGTGTAGCCACTGATGGGTTTGTGCAACTTGGAGATTACCCAGTACCATCAGAACTCCAGTTTTCTGGGTGTTTTGCACAGACTGAAAAGTATAAAATCTCTAGAAGCAGAGCTGAGGATATGGCCCCTGAAGTCTTCTCAGTCCTTTCTCAGGCAAATCAGAGGAGTTTTGCTCTCTTTCAGGCCTATATATGTGCTTGTTCTCATATATACCTACATGAGCATGGGTAGTTCCAGGGACAGGGAGGGAATGACACAGGCAGAATTCTCATATAATGTACATAGGAGTTCGACCTGTGTCAAGACAGCAGAAATAAGCCCTGGTAAAGTTAAGTTTTATAATGATTTCTTGCTAGCTGCTTAGCAGGTACACATTTGAGTGAAAAAGATCTTTTGCTGCTCATGTGCCTTTCTTAAAACAAAACAAAGAGTAAGGTCTTTCATTTAGTCCTATCAAATATTTATTAGTTTACCTAATGGTATCCATCATCTTTGCGCATTGGGTGCCTTCTATTAATTACTGGTAAGTGGAAAATATTTTTGTTTCACCAGTTTAATTGACCTCTGAATGATTTTAGGAACAGGCTGTATAGGTTTTTAGTAGCTTTTCTAATCCTATATTTTAGCAATTTCCTAGCATTTATTCTGAATAATGTATCACAAAACTGGAGCCCATAGAAATGTAATATTTACATCTAGACAGCTAAAGTTAGCAAATGACAATTATCGACTTCAGTTGATTGTATTTGATAATTTTGGATTATTTTTATAAATTCACATTTGGATTATTTCAACATTGGTAAGTATTTTAATTAAATGTCACTTCCCCCCCCTTTTTAAATTCTGACGACTCAAGAGTAAATAAGTGCTACATATTACTCTTCACTACTGCAGCTTTTGTTTGCTCAATATCTGTTTAAAGGTCATGGTCCCATTGTCCTTGTAAACAATGGGAGTTTTAACTGTATAAGGACATCCGATTCAGGCCCTTCATGTGCTCAGTGAAAAACTCCATGTATTGCATTCTAAGAGAGAAGGTTCACCATTTGCCTGCTGGGAAACACTGAAAGTTATGGATTAGGAATTACTGATATTAATGATATTTCTTGTTTATTTACAACTGACAAAAATTATCCTCTCCAATTGTTTGTTACACCCACTTGTTGGCTCTTTTCTCAAATGAGGCCTAATCCTGCAACTGTTTATGCATAAGTAGAGCACCTACAGAGCCTCACTGAAATCAGTGGACCTGTGTATGGATGCAGGAGTCTGCCTATGTGCAAGCAGCTGCAGGACTGGGGCATTTAACAGTAAGATCTCTGGTCAGCGAATCTCTCTTACTATGTTTTTTGTAGAAATCCTAATACAGTAGGATCCCAATATGATTGGGACTTCTGGGTGCTACTGTAATACAAATTAGAGCTGGTCAGAAAATTAATTTTCCATCCTGCAAAAAAAAAATGATTTAAAAAAATGTTTTGGGTCAGCTGAAACAAAACATTTTGATACACATGAAGTGTTTCGATTTTGACATTTTAATTTTTTATATAAAATTAAATGTCAAAATGAGAAATCAAACCTTTTTGTTCCAAAAATATCAAACCAGGACACTTTGACAATTTCAAAACAATTTTTGCAATTTTTCCTAATTTTTTTTTAAATCCGTATAATTTTATGAAAAAATTTGGTTTTGTTGAAATGGCATTTTCTGACAGCAAATTGTTCTGAGGAAATGTTTCTGACCAACTGTAATACAAACATATCATAATAATAATAATCTCATTTGGGGCCTGTTCCTGCAGTCCATCAGAGACTTTGGGAAACTTATTTTTGATTGAAGGAACTGCTCTTTAACTTCTGCAATCAACAGTAAATCTAATCATTCATCACCATGAAGAAGAATTGATTTGACCTACAGTAATCTCTGATAAAATGGCTCTGATTTAATAAGCTTGCATTTGTAATATGCTATACTTTTATTTGAGGGAAAATATTTGTCAGAATAATGACCTCAGTCCCCTTCTGTTTTTGTTTTTTAAGATGCTATGAAGTGGAAAGTGTTAAATCTCACCAGCAAACTCCCTTTGCATCTTACAAACATACATTACTACCTACCTCACCTCTGGGAGCATGAAAACAGCCTTTACCCAAATGTTGTCATTGGACAAGGGAGAACTGGAGGTGAGAGCTAAAATTTAATATTTGGTGGCATTTTTCTTTTCGCTCTGAAGAGACATACAAGGTTTGTGGTTTCAAAATTTGGCCTATTAATATATATTTTTATCTTTATTATACCTGTTTGAAAATACCACTTAATGCTTTACAGTAGTTCAGTACATGTTTTTTCTGAAAATAAGTTCTAACAGCCTAGCAACTAACTGTACAGTTGCAAACTTCTCTGTGCATGTACTCGGTAGAAAAAACATTGGGGAAATATATGTATTCAGACCTCAGAGGTTATTATAGGTATTGCTAGTAATATAAAAGTTATTAAATATAATTAGTCTGTGACCATGGAAATTGTTCTTAACTATTTTCAGGGTTTTCATTTAAATTTAGAATCAGTGTTTTTATTTAAGGAGCCCTTAAATTTAAGCTGTGCAAATTTACAGTTGCTTCTTTTTGCACCTGCAAAAAAATGTAAAGGGAAACTTAAAGGTGTGGTTGAAAATCCGCTCCCCCCCAAAAAAACAACAACAACTAAACATGAAGAAAATAGTTCATTATCTTTTCTTAGGGAATTTCAGTAATTTTAGTTCATACCTGACATCTACAATTTGTCAGCAGAAATTGTTTTTAGTTGTGTATTATTTGAAGCTTCATGATCACATTGTCCAGAGTGAGCATGGTGCTAAAAGTAATGAAGGCTTAATTTACATCAGTAACTATACAAACTTTTAAATTGTTCTCTCAAAAAAATTTCAAACATACATTTTTCTTACTAGGCTAGGAAGGTTATTCTCTTAGAATATTAATGCTTATATCATAAAAATCCCATGGGACTCATTATTCTGTTGTACCCTTCTTAGAGGAAGCAGGACAACAGCTTGCTTTTCTTAAAACTTAACTAAAAAGTGTACTTTTGCTTCCCATTTCCTGCCACTCCTCCATCAACTTTTCCCATATTCCTCCTGACTATAGTATCTGGGTGGCATGCATAGGAGGTTGCATAGTACCATTTTCTCCTTCACCAGATGTCAGGAGGTTGTCTTCCCTTCCAGATATACCTCAGTGATCTTACCTCAAAACAATCTATTATTAAAATGTTTTAATTCAAACAAACACAAGATCTATTAAAAACAGAGAAAAAAGTCGAATCCACACCAGCTCTGGGCCAGGACTCCAAGGGTGAGGTCCTTCTGCAACCTTGAACAGACCACCTCAGATATACCTTTCCTCCCATTCCACTGATACCAGAAGTTCTAAGAAAAATTTGCCATGACAAAGCTTGGGTCACTCTCATTGTGCAGAACTGACCCAGACAATTTTGGTTTTCAGACCTTCAGGGGATCTCAACCCATCTCAACCAAAAGCATTGGATCCTTTCCAGATCATCTGAATCAAGAGAACAGCAAGGCTAGACATCGCAACCCAGGCCCTTTTTTCATGGCCTGGTATTTGGGTGGGCATCAGATTTAGAGCATTCATTTTTAAAGGCCTGAACAGCAATCTGTTCTTAATCAAAGCAAAAGGGCATCCACCAGAAAATGCTATTTGGCAAAATGGAGACATTTCTCCACATGGTCACAACAGAACCAATTATCTGCACAATCTGTGGGAACTCTTATTTTAGATTACCTACTCACTGTCAAGATGTTGGGTCTTTCCATTAGTGCACTGTGGGTTCACCTTGCAGCAGTCATCAATTTCCATTCTTAAGGATGCTGTTTTTACTCATCCAACAACAACCAGATTCCTGAAGGGTCTCATTAGAACTTTCTCACTGATGGTGAAACCAACACCACAATGGGATCTTAATCTTGTTCTTTCAGTACTTACCAGACCTCCCTTTGAACCGCTAGCCACTTGCTCCATGTCCTGCACCTCCATGAAAGTCACTTAATTGCCATCACATCAGCCAGAAAAGTGAGTGAACTGGGAGTGCTTATGGCAGATCTGCCACATACCACGTTTCATAAGGAGAAGGTTTCCCTTTGCCTCCATCCAAAATTCATCCCTAAGTTAATTCCTGCGTTTCATATGAATCAGTCTATTCACTTACCAGTATTCTTTCTAAAACCTCATGCTTCCGATGCTTCTCTTTATATCTGAGGGTCTTTGGCATTCTTTCTGCAGATGACAAAAAGAATCAGGAAAATGCCTAGACTATTTGTTGCTTTAGTGAAATGATCTAAAGGACAAGCATTATCTGTTCAGATCCACTCTAAGTGGATCTCTGTCTGCATTGTTCTTTATCAACTGGTGCATATTTCTGCTGTAGATGAGGTGAGAACCCATTCTGCTAAAGCACAAGCAACTTCTACAGCATCTCTTTGAGAGAGAGCCACCCTACAGATGTCCAGTATAGGTATCTGGAGCACTAGCCATAATTTCATGAAACATTACACATTAGTCCAAGCCTCTTTTTACGCAAGCAATTGTGGGGACAGCAGTATTACAGACTGCTATGCCAACTGCATCCTCACACCTCCCTCCTGTTTGACTATCACTCATATGTGGAATACACATAGGGACCGGCACTCGAAGATGGAATGGAGGTTACTTACTGTAACTGGAAATTCTTGGAGATGTGTGATCCCTATCTGTATTCCACTGCCAGCCTTCCTTCCCCTGTGCTTCAGACTATGACTAGATTTGTGGTAAGAAGAAGAAATGGAGCAGAATCAGTCCACACAGCCCCTTCTTATACTGTCAGTTTGGAGCAAGAAGAGAATGATTACGCGGGTGTGGATTGACAGACACTACTTGCTAGAAATCTCTGATCTGAGGCAGATAGTACATACATGTACCCACGTGTGGAATACAGATAGGGACCATTCATCTTAAAGAACGTCCAGTAACAGAACCTCTATTTTTTCAAGATACTGTACACATGTATTCCATGACCCGTCCTCTATCCCCACTACTACAGAAGCATCAGGAGTCAAGCGGTGAAGCAACCAAGGTGCAGTTGGACTGGCCTGCTCTCAGTGTCCTCAGTTGGAGGTAAGAGGATACTTGGGCGCATGTGCCATTCCAACGGGTCCTGCTGACAAAAAGTCTTGGGCTCAAGTGCATTGGGTGCGTGTATACCAACAATAGAATATAATGTGGACAACACATCTCAAAGAACAGCAGTTACTGTACAGTAAGTAACCATTTTTTGAGGTATAGCTCAACCCATAAATGGCATATTATCCCCTTCCTCCCTACTGTCAATTCTTAACATCAAACACAAACACATTTCCTTGGTTATAGCATGTTTATTATCCCCAGTTATACCATGGCTTCAAAGTAGGAGCACAATGTATCCCTGACTCTGTTTCCTTGACCACTTAGGGCATTTTGGAGAGGCACCCTCTCTGGCTGTCCCTAATGTTTAGACAGTCTCCCTACATTCTGCTCCCATCTGTCCTTCAGGATCTTTCCCTTGCTCTCACAGTTTTTGTTCAAAATACAGCAGGCACTTATCACACAAGGTACATAATGAGAAACATCCAGCCTTTTCATAATGTACTGATACTCACACTTCAGTCTTCCAAAAGCACACTCCACTGACGTTCTACAGCTACTCAGGGTAAAGTTAAACCACTCCTTTCTCTTTTCAAAGCATCCAGTGAAAGGCTTCAGAAATCAGGGAAGTAGAGTATAAGCTGGATCTCCCACAGTGACAAGACAAATCTTAAATCAATGTCCATAATGTTCTGGAGAACAAATAGTCCATTGCTTATCCGTTAAACGGGCCTGAGTTTGCCACCCTGCATTAATATTGGTGAATCTTCAACAGTGATCAACTGGACCTCGCAGCACCATGGAAAAATACCCCTTTCTGTTGATGACGTCTTTGGCCTGGTGTGTAGAGTAGAGAATAGGCATGTGTGACCCATCAGTAGCCTTTAGACAGTTTGAGAATCCTATCTGCACAAAGTCATCAATAACCTCCTGTACAATGCCAAGTTTTATGACATGCCACTGCAGCACCCTCCTTGTAGCATCACAAATCTCCATGACAACAGCCCCAGTGGCTGATCTACCAACACCAAACTGGCTAGCTGCTGACTGGAAGCAATCAGGAGTGACGAGCTTCCAGATGATGATGGCAACATGATTCTTCATGCTCAAGGGGACTCTCATGTTGGTCTTCTGCCACTGCAGTTCTAAAGTGAGCTCTGTGCAGATTCCTAGGAAAGATGCTGTGATAGAGCCTTCAGTGGTTAGGCGGCCTAGTGGCTAGATCATTGATCAGAGGGGTTGGAGGGAGAACCAGACCCTCTCCAGGGCCCTGTGTAGTCCAACCCCTAAGCAGGGAAGACGGGTCTTCCTCCCGGCCGGGTGAGGATAGAGAATTCAAGATGCATTTCCCTAGGCTACTTCCTTTTAAAGTCTCTTTAGTCTGGGGTGTGGCCCCCCTAGTCCAATTCCCCGCTTAGCTGCAGGCTCCTCTTGATAGGGGAAGGCTTACTTGCCTCCAGTGGGTGCGTTGGCTAGCAAGTCGCTGATCTGTCCCTTCAGGCAGCCAAACAGAGAGCTCCTGCCTCCTCACCAGTCAGCCCCCAATTGAGCCAGGCTCCCTTCTTTTCTTCCCCCTCCATGTCTGACATTGGCTGCAGGTGTAGAGGGGTGGGGCTAGCTCAGCCCACAGGTTTTCTTGAACTCCTGCTGTGCAAGGCAGCAGTTTCTCTGCTCCTTCACAGTTGCCTTTGTCATTCTGACGTTCTGCTGGCACTGTGGGTCATCTCAGTTCTGCATCATAGCCCTCTGCACCAGTAACTACTAGTTGGCCAAGTCCAGAAGCAGGGCTCCACTGAGTAAATCTGCTCAAGAGAAATGCTCTGCAGAAGTAGTTACTCAACTTCCTCCTCATTCATTACTATTAGCTATATTGCTGCAGCATTGTGGCACTCTGTGCCTCAAAGCAACACCCTGAAACCCCCATATTCACCACTGTCATATAATTATGATATGTTTTGTACAAAGTATGCCTTGTAAGGTATCATTTTAAAGAATGGATGGAATGCCGCCCTTTAGCATGTGCTGTCCCAGGCACGTGCTTCCTCCGCTGGTGCCTGGAGCCGGCCCTGCTTGATTCAAATCCTGTTTAGTTTATAGAACTCACATTGCAAATTTACGTAGGTAACCAACTTTGATCTCTACACTTACTACTTATAGGGCTAGTCTACGCTACCACGCTATATTGGCACAGCTGCACCGATGCAGCTGCATTGCTGTAGCGTGTCTGATGAAGATGTACTATGCAGATGGGAGAGTGCTCTCCTGCTGACATAGTGTGGTGCGGACACCCCTGAGTGACGTAACTTACATCGATTTAAGCAGTAGTGTAGACAAGCCCTTAATCACTTAAAATCAATCTTTCAGTAGTTAATATTTTACCTAAAACAGTGTGTTTTGGTTGAAGTGCTTGGGAAATCTCAGCTCAGTTTACAAAGGCTAGCGTGTGTCCTCTGCACATCGAGGGAGGGATGGACTGGGTAATAGAATAGAATCATAGAATATCAGGGTTGGAAGGGACCTCAGGAGGTCATCTAGTCCAACCCTCCTGCTCAAAGCAGGGCCAATCCCCAGACAGTTTTTTACTCCAGTTCCATAAATGGCCCCCTCAAGATTGAACTCAGAACCCTGGCTTTAACAGGCCAACGCTCAAACCCCTGAGCTATCCCTCCCACCAAAAAACCCAACTATTTTTTTTGCCGCAGATCCCTAAATGTTCCCCTCAAGGATTGAACTCACAATCCTGGGTTTAGCAGGCCAATGCTCAAACCATTGAGCTATCCCTGTGTTGGTGTAAGAAGCTGAAGAAGAGCTCTGTGTAAGCTTGAAAGTGTGTCTCTCTCACTGGTCAAGCTTCTAACCGGGGGAAGACCATACAGTTCTGGGGTGCAAGGCTGGGGAGTTGGGGGAAATTGGCTGAAGCCTCTCTCTTGTTGGTTCACGAGTGGCTGGGAGAAGCATTCATGTAACTCAGTTGGGTGTGTCCCTGCCTATGGATGTCTGTGTACATGCAGTACTTGCCAGAGGTTTGTAGCTTGCCAACAGCATCACAGTGTGAGAGGGAGCCCAGGTTGGTGGGACAGAGTGCTCAGCAGTCCCACAGTCCAAGCTGCACCCCAGGAGCACCGTGACAAGCATCAACAGCCCTATGAAACAGCAGAGCCAAATGCATCCACCCCCCTGGCTCCAAATGCACGTGCCTGATCCTGTTTGCTACATTGTTGTAATGACTGTTATGATTGCAATGTTCACCAGTTTGTCTTCCGTGCTGCTTGACAGCAGTTCTAAAATGGCTCTGGCAAAATTAAAGGGTGTCAGGAGAGGAGTAATGGAGATTTGTTAGATTGAGCCCCCCAAAACCCAAAATTTCTGTAGTTTCGGGTAGTCATCCCAGAATGCACCAAAAGAAAAATCAAAGATCAGAGTGCTGAGCAATTCATTCAAACAAGCTTGGAACTGTGTGGATGCAATGATTATAAAGGAAAGTACCTTAAGCCAAGAAAACAAAATGGTGTAGACACACTTTGGTTGGATATATTTAAATTGTTGCACTCAGAGTGCACAAAGTAGATCAATGTAACATCCCTGTGTAAACATGGTCAGAGTCCTCAAAACTGCTTACAGCTATGTAATGTAGACCCAATGCCTATAGCGTACAAATGAAAATGTCTCCAACCTAATTTATGATCGGGACACACAGTATGTCCCATGCCATATGGCAGTTCATACTCTGTCAAACCTCTACACAAACATTAACTAGTTGATCAGTCTATTGAAGTTCCTATTTATGATGGTCCCTTTTCTCTGTGTTATTTTCATCATACAAAATTTCAAAAAGTCACTAATAGCCTCTATTTGACTTGAGATTAAATTATTTTAATTTCTGTTTGCAGTCTCCCTGGTGATGGGTATTCCTACTGTGAAAAGGGGAAAACAAAATTATCTGCTGGGCACATTGAACTCTCTCTTCTATGAGATGTCTGCAGAGCAGAAGAATGATTGTGTAGTAGTTATCTTTGTAGCAGAGGTAAGTTAGTATGAACAGGTGTATTTATGTTAATAAAGAGACAATATAGGAATCAATGTCTGTGTATAGTAGTGTATGAATCACTTCCATTTACTGATCATCATTGCTTTTGGAAGGATTTCTCCATGCAATTCAAATTTGGGAAAATATCCCTACTTTTCAATAAAGGACCAATAACATGGTCAAGAGATGGAATTTGCATGGAATCCTATTTAATTAAATGCTGGAAGCTGACATATTATATTCCTTTGGAATGATGTTGGCAGTCATAAAATTCCCAAACTTTGTGCCTATTAGGACATGTGTAGTGGTTAGTGCCTTGGTCGTCTTATCTAGAAAATAACTGTGGGGGAAAAAGATGGTACAGGTAACAACTGTCACATTATATTTACAGGCACTCTTGCTCTGCTTGCAGTCACATCTCCTTCAAATAAAATCATATGAATTCATTTTTGTCTCTTAACGCAAAGTATTCTATTCTGAGAATGAAAGGATTAGAAAACTGTCATCCACAAAAGTCCATAGAACCTGACAAAATATGAGCTTATTACCTTAATTTGAAAGAAATAGAGGTATTTGTCAGCTATTTAGGATTATGAGTATTTTACAAGGTGCTCTGACGCTCTAGCAGATTGCATGTGAAGTGACAGTTTTTCGAAGAAAAGCAAATACTGTGGTTATAAAATCTACAAAACATAAATAGCTCTTGTTTGCAAAAATTAGGCTGTTTCAGGTAAGTGGGAATTTTCCTCTCCCTGAATCTCTTGTTCTTATGGTAAAAGAACTGTAGCTACGAAATACACCTAATAAAAGTGCATTATTTAGCAACAACTCCTTGCAGACAGATGGTGGTGGTTGGAGACTCACATCCGCTCTCACAATCTATCCATCTTTATGCATTCTTTAACTGCTAGTTTACACTTATTTATTAAATGTAATTATTAAATGTAAAAGAAAGTTTACTCATTTAGTTAACCACATTTATAACTGTTCAAACTATAAATAATACCTAGATCACACTTCACTTTATCAGCTTAAATAGGATCCTGATGTCTCTTTCTGGTCCAGTTCACGATGATAGTTTCAATTTACTGGCTTAGTTTCTAGTCTAGCTAAATTTACCAATTTCATCTTAAAAAATAAACTCTCTTACAGTGGGATAAGTCCTGATAGAGGGCCTTGTTCTGCAAGGCGTCTCTATTGCAGTGACATAAAGAAGCTACTTATGAGGGGTAGGCAGTAATAGGCCATCCCTGAGGTAAAAGTGTAATACTTGCTGTGAAGGAGAGGTGGCCAGGACAGCTGGGGAGTATACCAATTCAGTTACTCCATGGTGACTCCCGCTGGTGGAGCTCCTATGGCTCCTCAGTGAGAATTAAAATTGCCTCTTTGGTGGACCCCTATGAGGGCAGAGGCAGAAATACTAGATTCACACTAGATTTAGCCATGACCAATTGACACAGTATTAATTCAAACAATCCCTGCCTACACTGAGTGATAAGTTACATTTAACACCGTTATTTAAGAGGTGTGCAGTTATGTGCTGCATCTCCAAGAGGTGCAGCACACACAGATACAGCCCAGAGGGTATGAGGCTAAGGTTGCTTTAAGCTCTGCCCCTCCCCCAGCACACTTCCAGTGTAGGAGCTTGAAAGGGGTCCTATGTAAGGCGGTTACAGCAGCTTTGCGTAGTGGAGCTCCCTACCAGCCAGCTAAAGATTTTTTTCTTGTCTCTTTATGCCACTGTAGCAGTGTATAGGGGCCAGGCCAGAGTAGTGTAGGGTAGGAAGGGTGGAATCCCTCCCCAGGAATTCTCAGGGTCACTTTCTAACTTGGTGTAATTTCCCAATTTCAAAGGGGTGAAGTGGCTTAGGGCACCATAGCTTTATTAGCTCTTGAAGCTTCTGGGGATCAGGTTCACAAATGCTTGCATCCTGGGTAACTCTAAGTAGTACCCTGTCTGTATGTGGGTAACACAATTGTTGAAGTAGCTTTCTCTTGTCAACCCTCAACAGTTATGTATTCTTGACTTATTGCTGTTTTAATGTATATCTTGTGATGAAGCTTGGCTATAACTTTTTAAAATAACCAATCCTAAACTGGCAAGATGACCCCTACATCTCCAAAGGGACAACATCTTTAAGTAGTGTTAGATTTTCATTTAGATAAAACCTGAATTGTCCATACTAAAACTGCTAGTTGTATGGGGCAGCAGCAATGAGCAAAATCTGACATTGTAATTTCCAGGCTAAATGCCACCGTTAGTTAAATGAGGAGCAAACTCCTGTTTAAACTTTGGATATGGATAGCCCGAGGCAAGGAAAGTTTGCACAAGTGAATTTTCTCACCAACAACGGGTCAGGTTAATAAAGGTTAGTGATTTTTTGATGATTAATCTAAATTACCTCTTTACTGAGAACAGGATCAGAAGGGCATACTAATTTAGTCCTCACAACTAGAGGCTATAGACAGATTGCCACAGATCTGTGCTCTCTCTCTTACTAAAGTGGTGAGAACCTGTATATAGTCCACAGACAAATAATTTACACACAAATGAAGCATCTATGATTTATAATATACATTCAGATGCCTGGGTAACACAACAATATTTAGTTATAGGAACACGGATATAATTACTCTTGCCTAGAATAAAAAAATTAGGCAGTGAAGTGTTTTGTGTATATACTTATATCAATTAGACTAGAAGTTAATGAAAATATTAAATTGGGTAAAAAGGAGTGTGTTAGATACTTTTTTGTTCTTTACTTCTTTAGGTGAATGCAGAGTATGTTAACAGTATTGCAGAAAGTGTTAGAACCAGGTAAGTCCTCCCTCAGGACCTACTGTATGGCTAATTGCTTTTCAGTTTTACATGAAAAGTTGTCGCATTTCAACAATGAACTACAAAATTAAAACTTGATGAAATGGTGCCATTACTCACATTTTGTAATTCAGTGATTTTAGGTTGCATTTCTAACCTTTGAGACCTGCATTAATTTTCTTCAATGTGAGACTGCTTTCCAAGGAATTAATAGTGCAATCAAAAGCACCTTTGTATTCATACACTGTGTCCTCATTGACCTCAGTCCCCTAAAATCTATAGTTATCTGTGCTGAGATCTGTGACATTTTCTAAGTGTCTTTGTTTGATAGTCTGAGTAGCAGTTCTACTTCTTTTTTTAAGGGCCATGGATTTTGGATAGCAATCTGCTTCAGTGAAATGCACTAATTCAGTTGTCTGTATTGCCATTCAATATGAAGTAATTTTGAAAAGACTTTGAAAGACTGAATTCAAGTGTGACTGTTATGAAGAAATACAGTTGAGGCTGAGATTTCACTGTAACATTGCTTGCTGTTATCCTACTCTCTGGTAGATGTTTAGTAACACTTGAAAAACTGAGTCTTTGCTTGAAAGGGACAAGTGCTTTTTTCAAACCCTATCATCACCCAATTCCTAAAGGGCTTGGTCAGATTATGCCCATATGTATGAAACCCCATCCCTCCTGGGGATCTGAACTTAGTTCTAGCAAAATTGATGGGACCTCCCTTTGCGCCCCTGGCAACTTGCTCTCTTCTTCACCTTTCCATGAAGGTATCATTTCTAGTGGCAATTACCTCAGCCAAAAGGGTGGGCGAGTTGTCAGAACCCCCCTACACAGTTTTCCATAAGGATAAAGTTTATCTCTGTCCTCACCCAAAATTTCTCATGAAAGCAGCCTCTGATTTTCATGTTAACCAAGCAATCTGTGTGCCATTGTTCTTTCCAAAACCCCATGCACATAGGGATGAGGAACAGCTTCACTCATTGGATGTGAGAAGGGTTTTAGCTTTCTACATGGATGGGAGTAAATCTTTTAGATCCTCTATGCAGTTGTTTGTGGTGGTTGCAGACAGAGCTAAGGGCCAACCAGTTTCCACTCAGAAAATCTCATACTGGATCTGACTTCATGCGTGTTTGTGTTACCAACTGGCTAATACTATTCTGCCGACTAGAGTGTTTGTGCATTCTATCACCGGACAGGCAGCTTCTGCAGCTTTCTTGGGGCCAGTGCCAATTGTAGATATTTGTAAAGCAGCCACTTGGTCATTAGTCCACAGTTTTGGTTCTCATTATGCCATTGCGCATCAGTCCAGAGATGATGCCAGTTTCGAATGGGTTGTCTTACAATCTCTGTTCAGGTAGATTCTGAACCTACTTACATGTGTGTTTTGCTTCGAGTCACCTACAGTGGAACTGAACATGTAAAAAACATCTCAAAGAACAGTTTTAGAAAGGAAGATAACCATTTTTTACCAACGAGCAGACCAGTTTGAAGATAATCCTTTATTAAGAATGGAAACTATGCACAGAAATAGGGTGGTAGAACTTTCTGCAACTGTAGCCTGCTACTGTCCTGTTCTACGTTCCTTTGTTACTGCTCCACAACAGGAAGTGTGTCATAGGAAAGCCAAAGACTTCATGAAGAATGTACATGAAGTGTGACACCTCTACTCTATAGCACATAGCTATTCCCATACAGGATGGGGAATAACTATATCAGTATAAGTCACTTTTATACCAGTTTAATTGCATCCACATTAGGGCTATTACTAGTTTAACTATTTTAGTAAAATGTCTGAACCAAAATGGTTATTCCCGTAAAACTTCCAAGTGTAGACCAAGCCTTAGTATACTTTTCAGTTGAGTTAAGTTTATTCAACTGAGTTAGCTTGATTTTTAAAAACACATATTTTTGCCCATGTAGATATGGTCTGGGATTGAACATGGGGATAGGAACTGCCTGCACAGATCCCTATGCCAGGATTAACACCTGAGGGCTAGATCCACAAGGAATTTTAGGGCTTGTCTACATGGTGAATAATGAGCTGTACAGGAGAGTGATTTCTAAAGTACACTAAAGTGTGTATTAATTGGCTCGTGTAGTGTGCACCAGCAGGTCTAAGGGTTCCCTAGTATGCTTTAACATAGTACTTTTTCAAACAGCACTATATCAAAGCAGATAAGGGAACATTTAGCGCGCACCAGCAGGGTCTACATGGACCAATTAATGTGCTTTAGAAATCACATCCCCTTTGGGAACATTATCCCATTGTGTAGACAAACTCTTAAGTACCTAACTGCCCCTTTAGGCACCAGTGAGATCTTAAAAATGTCCAGTCAGTTACCGCCTAAACCTGTACGTGCTTAAATTCCCTAGGCACCTAAGTTTTTGCCAGTGGGCATGCACAAAACCATCTGAATCCTGACTCCACTGAGCTGCTCGGCATCCTAGCTGATGTCTAAGACCCAGCAGGATTCTCAAACTAGTTGTTCCCCTGCCTGTCTCACCTGTGGGGCCTGATCTCGTAGGGATTCGCAGAGCATGCCAAACAGTCGGGGGAAGCAGATCAAGAAACAAGTGAGAGAGAGAGTGTGTGTATCTGTACACCCATCCCAGGTTACCCAACAGCCTAGTGATTAGGGACCTGACTTGGGAGATCCAGGTTCAAATCCCTGCTCAAAACTGGGCTGAGTAGGTATTTGAAAAACAGGTTTCCCATATCGTAGATGAGTGCTGTAACCTCTGGGCTATTAGTTGTGGTGGAGTGGTCTCTCTCTGTCTGTCTGTCATTTTGTGAGACAGGGCTGACCTGCCTTCAGGAAAGGATTCATGGCTATGAATTCCAAGTGGAGATAATCACCTCCCTTTGACCCGCACTTAGGCACCTAACTACATTTGAAGCATGGGGTATCCTGCTCCTCTCCTCAGCATTTCCTACTGGCTAGCTTAGGTCTTTCTGGCTTCTGAGAATCCCATTCTTAGGTGCCTGACTTTCCCAATGCATTGTATAACTTGGTGCTCAGGATTCCACTGAGCATCAGGGTGCCTAAACGTTAGGCATTGCAATGCTGGCAGTTGCAATGTCTAAGTCCCTTTGTTGATTTAGCCCGTAGTTATTAATCTTTTCTTTACAGCTTCCCTAACGAAGTGCAGTCGGGCGTTATTGAGGTTATTTCCCCTCTTGCTTCCTATTACCCAGACCTCTCCAATCTCAAGGAAACATTTGGAGACTCAAAGGAAAGAGTAAGGTAAGATAGGCTATGCAAAAACTTTCCAATAATTTTGTTCAACAGTAACGTCTTTAAATAGTCCACTGTATTTAAATTGATGAGTTTTGGTGTATTTCAGAGATAAAGCACTGTAAGTTTAAACAGAAGGTCATGAAAATTTATTTAATACAAGTGTAAGTATACAAATAACAATGCTGTTGTTGGTGTCCATCAACTTCAGAGTGAAAGCTAAACATTCTCCCTGTAGTCCTGCTTCTAAAAATCCAACTGTTTTAAAACTGAATGTATAGTGCCAGATGATGATTTATAAAGATTAGTATGGTATGGTGATAAATGGCCTAACTTTTGTTGTTTTTTATTCTATATAATATAATTAATCATCTTTACTAACGCCTGGTGGTATCATTGGCCCACTTGCTTCAAATTCATTAGCAGGAAACTATAACCTGAAACTGGTTGGTTTACAGAAGCCAATCAGTTTTTTGTAGACCAAAAATAAGTTTAGATTGTCACCAACAACTTTCATGGCTCCACTTTCATGTGCTCAAGAGCAATGAGCTGCCAGTTTGAAGCAACACAGATGACAGTAGCAGAACAGCAGTGCATGTTGCATACATGAATCAAATCAGGTTGTTCTTTTTTTTTTTTTTTTTTTAATTTAAATCCCATTCTTTCTAGAGAGCAAATATATTTGGTACATATGAGTAGAATATTCCTAGTTGCTCCCATCAAGGCCCAAATTCTTAGACTTGCATAGCTATAATTTGTATTTTGCAATTATCCTCAAACCTTTATAAATAAGGCGAGGGAGGAACTCTCTTTTTATAATAAGCTTTGTGGGATTTCAAAAATAATAAGCACAAACAATATTTAATATCAATAGAGTTGGTTGGGAATTTTTCATCAAAATGCAATTTCTACAAATTTGACATTTTTCAAGGGAGATTTTGATTTTTTTGCCAAAGTTTTTTCAATTTTCATTCAGAAACAAATTAAGTATTTCATTTCAAGTTGGATTGACCCAAATTGAAATACCTTGGTTTGTCAAAAATCAAGATGTTTAATTTCAGTTCCGATCTGTGTCTGCCTGAGCTGCCATGGTGCCCCATGCTCCTGTTCTCCTCTCGGGCTGGATGCATCTCCCATGAACCACATTAGTCTCTTCTCTGGTTCAATCATGGTGGTGAGTCATGGGAGATGCAGTTCAACTGGGAGACATGGCCCAGAAAGGAGACTGATGGCATGGCGTGCTCAAACTACAACTCTCATAAGGCACCATGGTAGCTCAGGTCAACACTTTTCAGTGTCGAATTGATGCAGAATGAAACACTGCAATCAGTTTGACAAACCAAATTGAAATGTTTCAATTCAGGAATGTCTAAATAGTCCCATTTTTGATAATTCTACATCACTTTTGAGGCATTGTGTTCCACTCAGATTTTGATATTTTAACTTTTGTCCCAATTTGGGATGAAAACAAACTTTGTAATTTCCCATGTTGGGTGCTTGAGCACTTTCTAATTTGGCCTTGAGCTCCTTTTAATTTTTGGCCCCAGGTGATTATTTGTAAATTTTTAAATTAACTATCTTCTGATGAGCATGATAGATTTTAAGGGACTCTCACTTCTCAGAAGGAATGTTTAGAAAATGTTTAGAATGAGGAACAGATTAATTACAAGGTCTTAAGTACTAGATGAATGGCAAAATCCTACCCTCTTTATTCACACAAGCATTATTGCCCCCCCGAAACTATATGGGCAAGACTGCCTGAAAAAGATTTGGTGACAAGTATGAAATGATCACCTTTTTGATCTCTACTGCTGAACAAAATTATGAGGTACTGAAAAATGAAAATATATATTCTCTCAGATAATAAAGGTAAAAATATACCTAGCTCAGAAATGTATCAGGTACATGGAATTTGATAATTAAAGTCATAAGCCTATCAAATGTACTACAGTAATTAATTTCTGGACATCTTTTTGCATATAACTTTTTATAAATCTGCTTCTTTAAAGTCTTGTCGCAGATTAACAAATATCAACTTTATTGATAGCAAAATGAGATGATTTGCTTTGTAGAGGAACAGTTACATTTTACTATTAAATATTACAGATAAGTTGGTCGATCTGGTTCTGTGTTGACTCATAAAAGCACTCTATTTTACCACATGGTGAAATCTTAGTGTGTTGACTGTTGTGTTTATAACAAAACAGGTGAACTAAACCACTCTTCTTGACGTATAAATTGGTTCATGTGCTGTGCATAGAGGAAATTCTAAAACTGAGTTTATTTTGCATCAGACACTTTTTTTTTTACTAGCTTTCCTCTGATCCAGTTAACAGTGAGTGGGAGCAGTTTCAAGTATAGACTTCATAACTACAGTGTTCTAATGTTGGTATTATGCTGATAACTCCATTGAGAAATCCAGAAAAAGTTTAACAGAATGTGTTGCTTATATTTAGGTGGAGAACTAAACAGAATTTGGATTATAGCTTTTTAATGCTATATGCACAACCTAAGGGAACATTTTATTTACAGGTATGTTCACATTATCAATAACCAGCTATAAATCAATAAATAAAATGTGCTGATTTTTAGTGTTGGCAGTTTAATAACTGTTAAACTACTCAGTGAAGACAAGTCTCCTGTGTTTTTCAGTATATTTGCTCACATCATTTGTAAGCATGAATCTCCATATTTTCATAGTTATTCATCTTATAGCTATGTATTATTTGATCTGAAATGGTAGTTTCATTTGTACCTTTCTGACATTCACAGGGTTGAATGATAGACTTGCAAACTAACTGAACCATCAAACAACTTTCTGGCCAGGTTAGGGGTATTTGTGTTTTTAATGACAGGTTTCAGAGTAGCAGCCGTGTTAGTCTGTATCCGCAAAAAGAACAGGAGATGAAGTGGGTTTTAGCCCACGAAAGCTTATGCTCAAATAAATTTGTTGGTCTCTAAGGTGCCACAAGTACTCCTGTTCTTTTTGTGTTTTTAATTAATTTTTGCTTGTAGTATAAACAGATAGTGTGGTTACAGACCAAGGTGACAGCCCACGTCATAGCTAGCCAAAATCTCTTAAAGGATTTTTCCAAATGGGAAAAATATGAACTAGTTCATTTCATTAAAACAAACTGGGATGTATGTATGCTGAACTGCAAAATCCAGACCCCCCAACTTCCCCAGAATGGGTGGGAGGTTGGATCCACATAAGATCCCCAAATCTGGGCTTAACTGTAGTACAAATCAAGTACTAATCAAGGCTGATTAGCAGTCTACAATGAAAAGAATGCACTGTACTGTAACTATCTAGAAAATTTCACAACAGCTGTCTGAGAGAAACAATAAACTTAACTAGCTAAAAATAATGGTGGTGATGTGTGGGGGAAGAGATAAGAATACGAGGTAGAAAGCATCTTTACCTCATTTAATGTTTACCATGGGTTTGACTGGAGAGGAGAGCATCCAGAAATTCTATGATGTGCAATTATTCCTTCAAGTGGGAAGAGAACTGGAATGGGAATGAGGCTTGCCCAATCCCATGATGGATCCTAGGATTCTGCATGGAAGGATTCTCCCAGGTGGTCAGCAGCAGGATAGGACACATAGAAGGGCTGCTTCTCGTCTTTCCTGGAACTGCTACTGGATAAGGATAAAAATTTAAAAGTGATTTAGGAGTAGAACTGGCCAGAGATGGAAAATCCTGTTCTGCAGGAAAATACTGAAACTTCAAAAAAAAATTGTTCTGAAACAATGAAAAATGAGATGTAGAAATTGCCCACAGAATGGGAATTCCAACTTGGCCATTTCATTTCAACCTTTTTAGAAATGTTTCCAAGGCTGCCCAGAACCCCAGCAACCTGCCAGGTGAGGAACTGCACAACTTGGGGATCCTGAGAGCCAGAGCTCTCAGGCTAAGGAGGAGCTTTGGGAGCCTGGAATCCCTGATTCTTCAGCAGCCCACTTTGCAGGCTGCCCTGGAACCAGGAAGCCCAGGCTGCTAAGGAGTTAGGAGCTTCCAGAGGTTCCAGGCTTCTGGCTCCATGTTAGCACACCAGGTGGGCTCCTGAGGAGCCAGACAGGGGCGCTTTCAGGAAACCAGGCACGTTTTGGTAATCCTTGGTAGGCAGGTTTCCATCAGTATTTTGTCAAAAAAGACATATTCCTGTAGAACATGTTGATTTTTGATAAAGCAGCATTTTCTGGTGGAAAAATGTTCCATCTGAAAATTTCTGACCGGTTCTACTTAAGAGCCTAAGCCCAATCTTCCAACATGATTGACCTGCTTAGGCAGGGGTGCTGGAACCATTCATGTAGTGGGAGTGCTGAGAGCCATCAAACCAAACTGTAAACCCTGTACATGATGGAAACCATTTCAAGCCAGGGAGTGCTACAGCATCCCTAGTTCCAGCACTTATGTGATTAGGAGCTAAAGTATCAGTGAAAGTTAATGAGACATAGGCTCCTAACCACCTAAGTTATGTTTGAAAATGGGACTGAGGAGCCTATGTCACTTGCACACTCCTGAAAATGTTACCCATAGAGACCAAAGTCTCTAATGCACCTCAGACACAGTCAGGGAGAGGATGGCTGTCCAGAAGTTAACAATGCCTCCAAACAAAATGCTCTGTACTTTTAGTGGATGACACTAAGCTGGGGGGAGAGATAGATACGCTGGAGGGTAGGGACACGGTCCAGAGTGACCTAGACAAATTGGAGGATTGGGCCAAAAGAAATCTGATGAGGTTCAACAAGGACAAGTGCAGAGTCCTGCACTTAGGACGGAAGAACCCATGCACTGCTACAGGCTGGGGACCGCCTGGCTAAGCGGCAGTTCTGCAGAAAAGGACCTGAGGATTACAGTGGACGAGAAGCTGGATATGAGTCAGTGTGCCGTTGTTGCCAAGAAGGCTAACAGCATATTGGGCTGCATTAGTAGGAGCATTGCCAGTAGATCAAAGGAAGTAATTATTCCCCTCTATTCGGCACTGGTGAGGCCACCTCTGGAGTATTGCGTCCAGTTTTGGGCCCTCTGCTACAGAAAGGATGTGGACAAATTGGAGAGAGTCCAGTGGAGGGAAAATTATCAGGGGCCTGGGATATATGACTTACAAGGAGAGGCTGAGGTAACTGGGCTTCTTTAGTCTGCAGAAGAGAAGGGGGGCAGAATTTGATAGCAGCCTTCAACTACCTGAAGGGGGGTTCCAAAGAGGATGGAGCTAGGCTGTTCTCAGTGGTAGCAGATGACAGAACAAGGAGCAGTGGTCTCAAGTTGCAATGGGGGAGGTCTAGGTTGGATATTAGGAAAAACTATTTCACTAGGAGAGTGGTGAAGCACTGGAATGGGTTACCTAGGGAGGTGGTGGAATCTCCATCTTTAGAGGTTTTTAAAGCCCATCTTGACAAAGCCCTGGCTGGGATGATTTAGTTGGGGTTGGTCCTACTTTGCGCAGGGGGTTGGACTAGATGACCTCTATGATTTCTGTTGGTGTGATTGGGGAAGATTGTAACAATATCAGAAATATTGGTGCTTGCATAGGGATGATTATTATGAATTTCCAGTTTCCTTTAAGAATAATTACATGTTGTTTACATTATACGAGACATCTTAAGGGCTGTCTTGTGGCATATATACCCAGCCCTAGCTTGTGGTGATGCCTATAGCAATCTTATCTTTTAAGACTTTTCTGGAGAACTAGAAGGAAAATAATGCCCTTCCTCTTGGCCCTTTCCCAGCCTGCCACTCCTTCCCTTGGTCTGCCCAGCCTCTGTACCTTCCCCAGCACAGACCCTGACCTGTACAGAGAGGCTTCAGTCAAGGGGACAAGGGGGATGAAATGGGTGCTACAGTGGCAGTTGAGGCCCCCCTACATGCATGGATCTAATGGGAATACTCTAGGCCACTATTTGGAAGCTCCATAACAACATGAAAAAAAAGCTGAAAAATCCTTTTCCTCAGCCCATTACTTACCATACTGTAATATAAACATTTTAGATTAAAACTGAGGTTTGGTGACATTTTTTCTGACGCTTTTGATTTACTTGTTGGGTATGTTTAGTATTTTAGGGAAATCTTAAAACAGAGTTTATTTTACTAATTTCTCAGAAATAGCATCATTTTGGTAAATAACTTATATGAACGTCTGAAGTTGAAAAGATAATAAAGTTATGTAATTATGTATCTACAGTACACTTACTGTCACATGCCAACTAAATCCCCAGTTCAGCAAAACATATAAGTACTTTGCTGAATTGGGGTTTAGGTGAGCTGCTTTGTGAAGTGCACTGATCACAAATAAATATTTGGAAAAAGATAATAAGACCTAACACTTATTCAGTCATCTCTTCTTTAAGTTTTTGTATGTGATCAGCTACTGTATCTTCAGCTCTGCTCTCTTAATACGTGGTAATGTCTTTCTTAATCAGTAAAAGATTGAGAGATGTTTAGAAACAATTGTAATTTTCACTGTAACTGCTCAAGTTTTTTGCAGTACATTAGAGCCCCTTGAGACACTTGTATTAATGCCAGAGCTAGGATAATAGGATTGTAAGTCAACCATAAAAGCAGGCAATCAAATCTCTCCATACCTAGGAGGAGATGTAGTTTTTTTTCTTGTGTCCATTTAGAGTTGTTTTATCCTGAGGTAATTATATATTTCCAAAACTGAAAGCATCTTTGAGTAGCTCAATTACTACAGTTGTTGGGAAGTGCTTTCTATCAATACTCATGGGAACGTAAATGAAAACATTAAATATGACAGCAGCTTTCACCATCTTCATTCAGAATTTGTTATATACTCAGACTTACTTTTTTGAGGTGCTTCTCCACTCTAATATCTGTAGCAAACCCTGCCATCTCACAATATTTTTGACTGCAATTAACTTAATAAGAACATAAGAATGGCCATACTGGGTCAAACTAATAGTCCATCTAACCCAGTATCCTCTCTTCTGACAATGGCCAGTGCCAGATGGTTCAGAGAGAATGAACATAAAAGGGCAATTTTATTGAGTGGTCCATACCCTGTCATCCATTCCCAGCTTCTGGCAGGTGGAGGCTTAGAGACACCCAGAGCATCTGGTTGTGTTCCTGACCCTCTTGCCTAATAGTCATTGAGGGCTCTATCCTCTGTGAACTAGTATAATTCTTCTATGAACCCAGTTATATTTTTGACAGCCACTGCACTTTGTGGATGGTTCTCCGAAAACATCTACTCGACTCCAAGATCTTTCTTGAGTGTTAACAGCTAATTTAGAACCCATCATTTTGTATGTATATTTGGGATTATGTTTTCCAATGTGCATTACTTTGCATTTATCAACATAAATTTCATCTGCTGTTTTGTTGCCCAGTCACCCAGTTTTGTGAAATCCGTGAGAGGACCTTTCCTCTTATCCGATGACTGCTTACTTTGCTTAACAGACTTTGATGGGGGATCTTGTCAAGGGCTTTCTGAAAGTCCAAATACATTACATCCACTGGATCAGCCTTGTCCACTTGTTTGTTGATACCCTCAAGGAAGTCTAATAGA